ATGCCATTACTTCAAGACGGGACAAATCTATACTTTATTCAAGAGCAACAATTACTGTTTTACTTATATCAGCTTTTATTGCTTATGATAATTTACATTATTTATTTTTGGCAAAAGGTGTAGAAATATTCGGTGGATTATTCCATGTGACTGCTACTACTATTTTTTTCCACCTTTTTATCTTTTTAATAACTAGCGTTATCTTATTATTAACTTCCTTCTACCCTAGAAAAGTTTTTTTAAAAGAATACAGCAGCCCGGGTAGACTTCTATTTACAAAACTAATCTATTACGGAACCTTACTTTTAAATAAAATGCGGGAGCAGTTTAAAATTGTAGAATATTTATTTTTTACAAAACTTTTTCTAGTTTCTATAGTTATTATATCTCTTTTATTCATACCTCTATCATTTGATTGAAGTATACCTCATTTTTTTATACTTTTATTACTAACCTTTTCCGCCGTTATTACTCTAACACTATGGCATATTCAGAATGACTATTATTATACTGGTGATTTGTTAGCTGTTTTTTCAGGAAATTACATTGGGCTAGTTGATAAAACTATTTCTGACTCAATTTTTAACGATACATTTATATGTATTAACATAATAATTGGTTTAAACATGATTATTATTGGCTTACTAAATAACAGGAAAACCTTGTCTATTAAGGATAAGTTCTTATTAATTATAAAAAATAAAGAGCAGTTCCTTATTATTGCACTAACTATGTTTTTAGCTATTTTTATCCTAAATGTACTCTTGTTCAGTTTAGGTTTAGGAATAATAGTTGATACTAGTTCTCTTACACTATTTCTTTATACGTTTTTTCCTAAAGTAATTAGTGTTAGATTAATTCTCATATTCTTTATCTGTTCTATAACTAAAGAATTTATATTAGATAACGTATCTTTAAGTTTATCTAGCCTTATTTTCATGATGGTACTAGGTAGTGTTAATTATTACTATGTATTGCCTTACTTTATAATGTTCTTAGGTTTAACAAATATAAGTAATTTACTTTCACGTATTTACTTCGCTGATTGTTGAGCAATTAAGGCCAATAGTAGTCAAAATTTAGCTGATGGTTGAGCATTTAAGACAAATAGTTGTCAAAGTTTAGCTGAAGGTATTTATAATATCATAACTAAGTTTCCTATTATTGGTAGATTCTTCCACTCATTTACGTCTAACTATTATAATTATTATATATCAAGTACTTTTAGATCATCTTGTTGTGAGATGTTTAAAAATATATCAAGTCCTTTTAGATCATCTTGTAGTGATATAATTAAAAATAAAATGAACATTTACCCTTTAACTAAAATAAGTAAATTCACTAGAATTGATATAGCTAGAATCGTAGAAAACAAAGTAGAACTTTTTTATAAAGGTGATATTAGTTCTCTAGAAGTACGATTGAAAAATTACAATTTATATCTTAGAGATCTTATTTCTAGTTTCGTTTCTAGCTATTCAAATCTTACATGTAAAATTAACTTAACTTGTGCGGATCAAATCGTTACCATAAATACTACCTTTAAAAATGGGCATCTTGAAGAATTTAATTTAAACAGAATTCATCTAAATTTTGTTAATGAAGTGGATAAAAAATCCGCTTTTAATATAAAATTTTTAAATTCATTATTAGATACACAGTGTTCAAAAGATTTATTGGATCTATCCCCTAAAAAAACTAATTCATTTGATCTATGTCCTAAAAATATAGATTCTTTCTACGACCCTTCGGCTGATAGAACTAGAGAACTCCTTCACTTAACGGATCCTATGAAGAATGGTTATGATTTACAGGTATTTATGCAAAAAGGTTTCCCTAATTATGACTATAATATTCAACAAGGTGAATCTTCAAGACAATCCTTGCATTCCTCTAATTTAAATAGGGGAATAAAGAGACCATTAGATTCTGAAAACCTAGATATAGGTGGTAGCAGAGATATATCTACAAACTACCCTTGTCTTGATATTAGAATGATTAAATTGCAAGATAAAGACTATCTCTTTTTAGATTTTGACCCTTATAAACTTGATAGCGAACGTGATGCATACTTAGAGGAAATTTGTACTATTGGTAGATCAGTTCTAATGGAGCACTATAGTAAATTGGGCGAGGGTAAATCGGCTGTTAGGTCAATTGTAGACCGTGTAGAATTTGAGGATATATCTATTTCAGAAAACATACATGGAGGATATATTAAGTTATATAAAGCTTTTTATCAAAAGAATTTAGATATCATTAAATCACATGAGGTAGAGCCTGAAAATATTCACCCCTTTTCTAAACTTTACTTAGAAGGTAATCTAGATTACCCGGAGAGTGATTATTCAGAGGATGATTCTTCAGATGATGGTGATAATTTAGATAATTCTAATTTAGACGATGGTGATAATTCAAATAATTATGTTAGTTTAGGAGATTCAAAACAAAAAGGGAAAGAGGTTTTAAAATGGTTTACATCTGAACAAATTAACGATTTAATTAATAGATTAAGAAGCAAACAACTAGTGTTCTTTTCTAAAAGACATACAGATAGTTCTATAAAGTGTAACTTACAAGATATTGGTCTTACCTTTTTTAAAGGAACGTTCTTATTTAAAAACGGCGAAAACGCTGAAGACGAAATTACTAATATGTTTAATGTATTAATTAAGGTAAAACCTGATTTGTTTTCTAAGGTTACTAATGATATAATAAAGGTTAGTATAAATACTCTTTGTTCTAGGTTAAAGGAGTTAACTCAAAGTTCAGTTAATGAATTGACGGAAGAAAATCTTACTATCTTAAGTAAAGAATTAAAAAGTAGAATACATAATTTTTTTAGAGTTAGGGGATTTGATATTGGTATAGTTACTTGTGAATTTAGAGAAACTCAGATTAAGAACATAAAAGGAATAATAGTAGAAGGAAGCAATTTAGTAGAAAATGATTTTACTAAATTACTAACAATACTTATTGAAAAAAAACCAGAATTTTTCACAAAAAAGGCTACAAAGGTTAATCTATCAAAAACAGGCCTAATTCCTTTATATAATAGGATAAGTAACTTAATTCAAAAACCTATAACAAAAGACCAAGTTGCCTTTTTAATTAATGGCTTAGAGAGTAGAAAAAATAATCTTCTTGAACATAGGAGATCTACAGGTAATACATCTGAGCTTTGTGTTTTAACTGATTTATTTTTTACTAGAAATAGTATATTATTAGATAAAGATGCGGTTTTAGTAGAATACGAACTTACCGGTTTATTAGAAAATTTACGTAGAGAAAAACACCATCTTTTTGTAAAGAGATGTAATATAGATTTATTAATTATTCAACTAAGATTATTATACCACGAATTAATCTAATAATATCATGTGCATTAAGTTTGGTGGCGAAAGGAGTGTTAAAATCACTTATTTTTTATTGTTTTTTACCGTGTGTTAATTATAACACAAAAGTTAAAGAATGGTTATTTTACCGTTAACTTGTTATGAAAGGTAACACCTTTACCAAATAGTATAACAAATCCCAGTTAATAAGTTTATAGTAAGCTGGAAAATTGCAAAGTAGATTTATATTTCTAGTGCAATGAAGGGAGAAGATAAACTAAATGTTTAATAAAGCCCCACCAAAAAAAAGAACTCATGGAAGAGAACATTTGTTTTACACGTGGAAAGTTAAATGTTCAAACCACTTATTTTTTAACTTCTTGCGAAGGATAATTATATAATAAGGAGATGAAAAGGAAGAAACATTATAAAGCCCCTGTTGGGGACTAGATATTTTATTATTTAGTAGCCTTTATAGCTCAATGGTAGAGCGGAATACTGTTAATATTCTGATAAATGTTCGATTCATTTTAAAGGCTTGCATTCTTTATAGAAAACACCTTATGACTATTATATTTAAGTTTAAACGGATATCAAAAGCCTTTTGGTTTAAGAATTTTATTTCCGATGCGGGGGGGGTATATTTCTATTTCAACCATTGTTACAAATAATTATAGAGCATGCTAAAGTTTAATAGTTA